ATTTGTTTTAAATGATTTTAATTACTTCACATTCCATAAACTCATTGTAAAGGGTAAGGATGCTTTCTTACATATTAAATGTTTGTTCTTAATGTAAAGGGGAATGATGCTTTCTTAAATTTGAACTCTTCATTACAAAAATTTGTTTAGTTTTAATAAATTTACTTTTGAAGTTTAGCAAATAGCTTAGTTAACCTAGTTCTTTTAACTGCATTTCATTAAGCATATAGTAAATTTACTTTAGATTTGTTTTATGTTCTTAATTTTTGTAGTTTGAATATTGTGTTTGACGTTATAACCATAAAAATTTCCAACTCCTTGGGACTCCATTAGAGCCCTTTATTACTTGAGCGATACGTATACTTGTGTTATTATTATGGTTTGACAACTTACAGATTTTAAAAGATAAAACTATTTATACTGAATTTTTTTTTATTAGGATTGAACTACATATTTACTATTCGTGATGTCGTGTGTTTATTGTAGTATTGAAAGATATTTACAACACACCACAAAAACCACGCATCATGTAGTAAACATAGCTCCTTAGCTGTGTAATACAAACCTTAACCTGCTTTCTTACTTAAGGTTTTTTTATATTTTTAATATTGTGTCTTTGTGTTAGTATTATAAGAATTTCCACCTCTATGTGGGATTGATGCTTATGACTTCATTAGAACCCTTTATTACTTGTGTGATAAGTATACTTACATTTGCAACCTAGTGACTATTTAAAATTAAAAAAATATATATTAATTCATTAGGAGTGGCATCTTTCCTAGTCTCGTTGTCACATGAGTTTTGAAAAATATTACTAGCATAAATAAAATATGCACCAATAATCTAAATTTTCCAAAACATCTTTAAATAAAATCAAAACATGTTTTTTTCTCAAAACATCATTGCTTTTTGAATGCTAAACCAAACTTTGTATGCATGAAAAAGTAACAGAATTTTGAATACAAAATCATGAAAATCCACTGGTTAATCATCTTAATTAGGCTAGGACATGCCCTTCTGAGATTGTTTGTCCGGTAGGTTTTGTCCAAGTTTGGAAGCACAGCCTAGCTCTGAGTCCCCACCTTCACTAATGTCTTACATTTATTCCCGGCCTTCTATACATGGCATTGGGTTTTGTTTTAAACGCTCGAGTTTTCCTGAGGACTTATTTTGTATTTCATTTGCACCACCAGACTTTCTTGGCAATTTATTTGAAATTCATCTACTTTATTACATTAAGATTATGAAACTAAGCATCCTATGGTAGCAAAGGCCCAGGTACGCATGTAAAGTTCATATACTACAAATTTCATTGCTTTACTTTATATCGTATTCCTTACTTATGCATGTCTTACTTTATCTGTAAAACAAAAATAATAAAAATACAGTTTTCAAAAATAATAATACACTTTCAAAACAATGAACAAACATAATTTACTCCTTTTAGGTTTGCGATGATCTATTGGATGAGGTAACTTACGATTGCTAACAAGAATTCTCCAGTTTAAATGAGCTTAACAACTTGTTTATATTAAGTAAACTTAAAATAAAATAGTAGAACCAGAATGATGAAACCGTGGAATCATAACCGGTGTTGCTCAACTTAAAATTTCCCCAAACATTCAAACAACAACTATGATAGATAAAACTAAAAGCATAACACATGAATAATCGTAAACCTTGAAGATGCACTTCAACGAGAAATATTGGAGCAAATCATGGCAAATGGAGGGTGATAATCCACAATAACAAAACAAGTCTACATCAACTAAACCATTTCTTAGAATTAAATAGCAAGCCATGGGACTTCGAGGTAGTCTGTCTAGTGTGACATAAATCCCAACTCATCTTTAGCCCTTTGCACAATCATGTTGTGCAATCTAAGCCTAACTCGCTTTAGGCTCTGAGGTTATCGTTTGTTACGACATAAACCCTCATATCTTTCCAGGCTATCTGAATGATCGGTAGCATGTAAATGTAAGCCATAAATAATAAAATAGACATGATTGAATGATAAATAACTTTACTTCGAAAACGTAAAGCCCAACAATATGATAGCTTGGGAAGTCACTGAGGCTCGCTTTGTCCCGTGACGTCCCCTAGCCTTCACTTTTTTATTAAAAAAGTATTTGTTCTCACTTGATCCTTTCCCACTTATTATTTGCTTACAAATTATCTTGAAAACCTAAACTTTGAACATTTTGAAGATGAAACCTCTGATCTTTATCGAGAGTTTTCTTAGATAACTTCGATCATTTAAGATATAATTAATTATAATGACTTGCCCTTTTAAGAAACTTTAGAACCCAAATATTATAAATTCTATTTAATCTTTATATTAGACAGGGGAATTTGTCGGTCAACATAAAGGTTTTGCAGACCAAATGATTGTCATAAATTCACTAATTTGTCTAATAGAGCCTCACTATCCAGTAATGTGTCTATTCCTTGAAATAAGATCATCGCTTGGGGTCTCGCGCTCGACTATTTAAACTATTAAAGATATGTGATCAGTTTATTCGATTAAATTGACGGTCTTATTGCAATATTATTTCGATATTATTTCCATGTCATTTGCGTTTATTCCTGTGTTGCTTGAGGTAGCCGTGGTATTATTAGTGTATTATTTAAGGTAATCTGTTCATATAAGTAATAAAAAAACGGTATACAATAATTTATTGAAATATATTATGATTTATAGGTCAAGTTTTTAAAAGTAAAATCATTTTATTATTATTAATAATTTGTTATATTTTATCATATATAGGATTTCATTTTTCTTAATATAATAAATTTTATTTACAATATTTCATTTAATCAATGCTTATCATATTTTATTCTTGTGAATCTATTATTCGTTTAAATTGAAGGCCTTATTATGGTGTTATTTCATTATTATTGTGATATTATTTGTGTTATTCGCGTATTATTCATGTGTTGCTTGAGATAGCTGCGATATTATTGGAGTGTTATTCCAATGTAATTTAAGGTAACCCATGGTGTTTTTGGCTTATTTCGGCAGTGTCATTTGAGCTACTTTGCTGTCTTATTGAGGTGTTATTTCCATCGAAAACAAGCAAATAACACGTGCTGCAAATAACACGTTAGTTAAACAAATTTGCGCGTTATGTCTGCAATATATTTATTTATATAAGTAATAGATAAAAGCATATAATCTTTTGTTATAATATTTTATGATTTAAAGTATCTAATTTTTTACAATATAATAATTTTAATTATTATTAATAATTTGCTATAATTTATAATCTATTTGATTTGATTTTATTAATAATTTTTGTAGCTGCTCGAGACCATAGCGTGTGATCGCAAATGAGAAATTTGACACCATGAAGTGGGAAGATTTCAGTCGCTTCTAGGAATATATGACAAATTAGCGGGAAAGTAAAAAAAAAAATACATTTTGGGATAAAACAAATGGCGATTTCTTTTCTTAGATGGTGGGACTGGCAACTTAAATTTATTAGACAAGCTTCTTGAATAAATATTAGAGTAAAATAACTTTTTTGCAAAATCTGGTAAGTGCAAAAACCGTAAAGACTAACTGAGATGAAACGATTCATTAGTATGCATAGATTATAAAAGCCCAGACTCTCATCAATCGACAAAAATAGGATTCCAAGCAATAGATTGATCTCATGTCATTGTAATTAAGATATTGGTCAAAGAACGTTAGAATAGCATCGGTAACATTGTTATGACGATCCAAATAGAACAATCAAATTATGAAGCATGTACAAACAAATTCACAACAACAGACGAACAACGGTCTAATAACAGCGGACAAATGATGATTGCGTGGTAATAATTAGACCACAATTAAACAATATTATTTTCTTATGATAAGCATTAGCGTTGAACATAAGATAAAGAGTATAGAATTCTTCATACCTCCCAACTTTCTTCAATTTGAGATTAGGTTATCTTCATATAGAGGATAGAGGTCTACAATTTATAGAAGTGACATTTTAATAAATATATCCAAAATTCAAAGCACACCATTTAATACCTCAAGTTGATTCATTCAATTAGACCTTTTTTTTGTGCAATTTAATCTTAATAGACCGAATTAAGTGGTCTGAAACCGAAAAGATTACTCTCCTCAAGATGCTCTAATTATGAGAAAATAAAAATAAAAATCATTAAACATCAATTAATGCCATGAAATTTCCTACTATAGTTAAAATATTTAGTTTGGGTTATTTGAACTTGAATCTGATTAATTTTGGTGTTACTAAATTCACATTCAATTTAAAAATAATTTCACTAAAATCAGAATTCGAATAATCCTAAATTTAATGTCTCAAAATAGCAATTATACTCTTAACAAGCTTGTAATACGATTAAACAATGTTTAGCATCGAAATTTAGTCTCAAATAACCATTTTTAGCAAGAAATTAACTTCACATCAAAAGTTTCCTTGGAAAAAAAAAACTTCCAGCAAACATTTAGAACATTACCGTGAAAATAAAAAATTAGCATTAATTTATTAACGAACAACCGAATTTTACTTTTGACCTTAAATGAAAATAAGTGATTCAAGCATGAACTTAGAAGAAAAAATATTTGAGTCAACAAAATTAATATATATATATATATATATATCTGTGCGCGCGCGCGCAAGCTATGCCCTGTTGGTTGGCGGGGTTCTTTGTAAATCCCCTCAGGTCACGGGTTCGATCATCCGTGGCGCGGGGTTCTCAAATAATTAGACACATGGCGCAGACTCTCATCATGGGGCCTTGATGCGCATGAGAAATCGATATTTGGGTCTCTGCCAAAAACGATTTCCTTTCAAATATAGATATATATATATATATATATATAGACACACATACACACACTTAAGACCTAAACATGGTTTCATAGTTCTGGAAATAGGTAAGTTGGAACCAAGAAAAGGAAAGTTGCGTGCAGCCTTTCATAAAAATCAATTAAAAAAGTTCCCAGACATGGTTGTACAGGTTCATCTGGTACAATCTTCAAATTCAACATGGAAACATAAATATATTAAATCAGATAAGAAACCACAAACTACTGCATTCTCTGTTATGTACAACAATCCACTTCAAATCATATTCTAACGGATAATTTAATGCACTATTTAAACCAAGTGCCCTTACTAGGCCTTGTGGGACAAAAATAATGATGATTATTAACAGTGAAAAATAGCTTTACAGCCCTATAAACCAATTGGCAAAACATATTGGAGTGGTCATCAAGCATAAAGCCACGCAGGCAAGTAGATAAAACTAACAGGAAGCTCATATGAACGAATGAGATTAAAATACAGTAATAAATCTTCTAAATTCGGGCAAAAGTTGTACCTGAACACAAGGCAATATTTAAAGGAGATGAAATTTTTCTGCTTTAATTGTGCCTTTGCTCTTCCTTTTACCTCAGCTGTGTTGTATAATAGTTTTCATAATTTTTTATCAGATCGGCCAAGATTAAGGTTGAACCATTTCTTCTTGTTTGATTTGTCCTTCCCGTCCGAACTTCCATCCTCAGATTGGCTGTCAATACTGATGTCGTCCATGCAAGTTCTACTGCTACTGCTACCATTGATGGCCGTGCTGGAGTTGGTAACGGTGCGGACGGTGGTGAATGAGGAATGTATTTGGTCCCTCTGGTTGAGCAACTCATCGACCTATGTATAGTTCGGGCAATAAATTTTAATATAACTGATTAGAAAGTCAGGGATAAAGTTTGTACAATGACTCAAAATGAAATTGCTAAGAAAATAGTGAAATTAATTCAATTTCAAATTATTCAATACAGCACAAAAATAAACGAAAATTCATAGAAAAATTGTGTATATATGTACATGTAATTGTGTACTTTGTTCTTGCACGTCTTCCACTGTTCATTTAAATAATTGAATTGCGATAGACAACTTTTGCTTACTTTTGATATCTAGGGCTTTTAGCTCATTTAAATATTAATAATTGAATAAGAGTGGAAAATGTGGAATAATAAGCGCCATAATTTTTTTTTAGTTTATATGTACACATTTGAATGGGTGCTAACTAATTCGCGAATATCTCGAAACTTGTTTGAGATTTTAGGTTTGATCCAAGCCAACACCATAATAATTCTCACCTATGAAGCCCGGGCATAAAAACATGAACACAACATGATATGGTCACAATGACCCGACATAACTATGAAACGTAGGACATGACATGATATTGACACAAATTGTTAAACTTTAAGTACAAACCCCACAGGAAAAGAATTCAAAAATATGTAACCATTAACTATTTTAATCGGTACTAAAATAGTTAGGAAAAAAAAACTTAAACATGTCAAATTATGGAATCTAAAAATTATGAAGACATGATAGGACGTGCTTAAAGTCACAGCCAAAAACTCATGTTATTGAAGTCGACACCAATGAATCATATTGTCAGAAGTAAACTTGGTAGGCACGAAGTGTCAAAGACTGAAGCTCTAACTGAAGGCGGACAAAGTTTCTCCTGCTGCGAATGATTCCATATAAGAAATTGACAAAAATTATAATTTTTTCATCATAAAAATTACTATTTCCACCAGAAAAGAGGTGAAGATGGCTACAACCAAAAGTGAAACTAGTGGTTCAGTATTACACTATAAAGGGTTTTATTTCATACTGTCTCATGTCTCATCAAGTCTTCAGTGTATTCGGCCCAAGCAACCTGTGTAGCCAGTATCGAAATTCAACTTCACCCTTAAATGATTTTGAGACAACGATAGAAACATCAAACATGTGTCGAAGCATGTTGAAGCTACATCAATGTTTAACACGTGTCAGACAGAGACAAAAGTCATTTAGAAGTGTTTGTGCTTCCTATATACTAGATTCCATATATATATAATATTATATATATATATAACTTGGTAACAGGGAGACTATCATGAAGAATTTATTGTTCAAACTGACCAAAAAACTATCCAACAACCTTTAGGAAATGCAACTCGAATAGTGTTCAAGTCAATAGAATAATAATCATTCTTCAATCAACACTATGGCAAATTGAAATCTCTTATGTGACCCTCCAAATCTCAGCTCCCCAAAGTCCTGAAGGGCTAAGCACCACACTATCTTATCAGGCTCAAAATTTGTCAAATTGAATACTTACATTAGACCAATATAGAGCATATCAAGCGCATTGAAGAATGTACCGAGTCCTAGCCCAATGGTTCATACTCCATCAATTGACAAGCTAATAATTACATAGACTAATGCTAATTATTAGGGTATAACTAAGGAAAATCATCTATGTTATATAGGGATTAACTCTGACAAATATTAAATAGCTAATAATTGGGATAAATAATCATTTTAAGTGAGCATACAAAAAAATGATAGAACTTAATTAGTACTTAAATACGTCTCAATTAATTTTAAAGATAAATTAAATACTAATAGGGCTAATGAGTGATTAGCTGGAAATTAAGACACAACACATGCTAAGTAGTAATATACAAATCAATGAATTAACTAATTTTAATTAGTAATGCTAAATAAAGAATATTAAATTAAATTAAATTTTTTTTTTTTGCAAAGATGTCTCTTTTAATCACAACTAATTCACAAAAATGCTACTGCAGTTTTTACGACACTTCTAGCTCCCACATTAGTTTAAACAACAATTTTTTCTGCAGTGATTTTCCCAACAGAACTTCACATTACATGTCAGCTCAGCAAAGCACAGTAAGAATACAACATAATAATATAACAAAACACAAGATAGAATAACTAAATCAAGCCTTAGAATCTATTCAGAAATAAGACTTTTAGTCCAGTGAAATGAATAACGAGGTGAAAATGCAAATAAGAAGAAGCAATCGAGCCGAAGAATGTTTAAATTTAGTGTTATTATCTTTTGCTCAATCCAAATGCCAAATGCAACCTCAACGAATTTGGCATTTTACATAGTTTCAACTGAATAGAACACAATAATTTTTAGTATTAATTTTGTAAACTCAATGATCAAAAGTTCATAAAAAGGATGACTAAAATTTTCCCCTGAATGGATTATAAACGATACAGAGGTCATTAAAGTTGCCTCTAGTAAATTGAAGCGGTCATATGTTCAAGCAATGAAAACCACCTCTCCACAAGTGTGAGGGTAGGGGTAAAGATATTTGCCACAATTCCCCCCTAAATCGTACATTAGAGATTGTTTCAAAGACAAGATAAGCTAGAACATAAAGTATTTAAATGTTAGTTTAATCCTTCCCTTACTCTAACTTAGGGGTGTAAGTGAGTCAAGCTAATTCATGAGCTAGCTCGAGCTCGGATTGATGAGTGCCTCATGAACTAAGCTCGATGAGCTAACAAGCCAAGCTCAAGCCAGCCCGGAGTCACTCGTTAGCTCATGAGCCAGCTCGTTTAAGAAGATATTAATATAAATATACTCAAAATATATTAAATTACAAGACTTTAAATTTAAGGTATTAAAAATGTTAAAAATATAATAATATTCTATATTTTTTTAGGTGATTTTTATTATTTATCTCCTAATTGTTCATTCTATTTGTCATCATATTATAAAGCTAGCTTAAATTAATATTGTTTTCTCATTTTAAATTAAACAAGCTGGCTCGCAAGACGGCTCAAACTCGTGTTAGACTTAAGCTCGATCTCGAGCTCGAACTTGATAAAAAGATTCAAGCTCATGCTCAAATCAATGGTGGCTCGAGCTTGACTTGACTAGTTTACACCTCTAGTATAATTGGTAGAGCCCTCGTTCTTTTAATTCTACTTATATGAAAAAAATATACGCAATTTTTTAGCATGTTCATCTATGTTTATTACATATTTATGACCATTGGACACTTGAAAAAGATATTTTTGTCATGTTATGTAGGTTATAGAGATTGAGATATTTGGAGAAGGAAAAGAGGCGAATTGAGAAAATAAAGAGAGAAGTTGCACTTGCGCACCTACGCCCTAGCTAGAGCGCACCCACTTTAGGTTGTCGAAGGAGGCGAACCCGCGCCCAATCTATAAGCACGCCCAAAGCAGATCCGCATCCTAGATATCCGCAAGACAAGGGGGGTGGAAAATTGCACCAAAACCAAGGCGCGCACCACCCATGACACGCAAATAGTTCAAGCGATAGAACACCCGCGCCATCTTCTCCATTCGATAGCGCAATCGCGCTATTCGTTCAACGCACCTGTGGTGTCCCAATCCAGGCATAGCACACCCGTGCCAAGCACGGGCGTAGTTGCATCGAGTTCACAGATTGTAATTTTGGGAAGATTTCTTGCCTTTGGAGAAGCATTCACTATAAATAGATGCTCTCAATCAGTGGAAGACCTCTTTGGAAGGTTGGAGGCTAGGTTCTTTTGAAAAGGATAGTTTTTTTAGTTCCCCATAGATTTTCACTCTTCCTCCTCAAAGGAAGAAAGCTCTTAGAGTGATTTCTTTGAATTTTCTTGTTGCTTTTTAGAGCGATTTGTAAGAGAGGGATGGAAGCTATTGTGCGAGAAATTATTCTTGGATCATGCTCATTGTATGACAAGGATCATTGTTGTGGAGGTGAGGAAAAATTAGTTGTATGTTTTTCTTTCATCTATGTATGGGTTTTCTATTTGTTTCAATGACTTGTTTTTGGTTTTTCGCTCTCATGTCTCGTAGCTAAGTTTCCTTCTTGCTTCTGTGATATAAGGATAAGTGTTTTTTGTGTTTTTCCTGCATGTGATTTTCCCGTATCATTTTCTGAACTTTTCATGTATCTAAGTTGTTAACTTTTTGAATGTCATTTACTCATAATCTGGCCAATTAAAATGTTAAAACAAATTGTAATCTAGGACTTCTATCAGTTGTCTGGTGGAACGAATAAGTTACCTCATAAAAAATGTAATGAACTAGGTTGCCATTATGGTCTCCAATTAGATAGGGGATTTGAAAAATTCTGGAAAACGTTGCAGCAATAAGAGAAACTTAACCGTAATATAGTATCTAATTCATCATTTGACCTAGTCATAGGTAAGAAGAACTGGTATTCCTAATTGACAACTATCACGTAGGGAAACACTAAGAAAATCACTAAAACACACTACAACTGTATCACAAAAGCACAAGCCTCTTAAGCTCTAAGAACACTGCAACTTAGTGCCTCTAGTGTTTCTTGGTCTTGATTTGTTTTCTTTTCTGATTTATTTAGAGTATCAAGGTTTGAACCATGCAATTGCAATCATGTCAAACTAGATTTAGTAGGTTAGTGAACTAAAGGTTCACCTGTCAAGATTGATCTTAACCCTTTCCTCGTGAGATCGATATGCAGACTCATAAAATCACATATTACTTGATATGTATACTTGTATTTTTGGTCATTTGCCTCTCAATAACTTTTCGGCCATCATGTTTTTGACGTCGTTGCCCGAAAAAGGTGTTAAGAAATATGTTGACTTTAGGAAAATTGTAGTTGAACCGCCTAGAATCTAGATTTGATAATTTATGTTTTCCATTTTTTTTCTTGTTTATTGTGTTACATTTGTATTATTGCTTTGCCAATTTCATTGCAAGCGCTGAAAAGCCTAAAAGTTAAAAAGCCAAAAAATAAGAATAAGCAAAAGATTTATTTTCTATTATTTATTTCCAGTTGAAAAGACGTGTGTGTGTGTGGGTGCGTTTTGGAATGTTGTTGTGTCTGC